ATAATGGTGGAGGTGTGGGGTCAGGAAGGCTGTGTAGAATGGAGGCTTCAGAATTAGAACTGGGTCCAGTCCTCGCCCTGCGGTATCTTCATCTCTATTTTACAGATGAGGTTTAGAGGTTTATGAACTTGCTTCAGATTCTTCAGGCTGCCAGCAGTGGAGCTAGAATGAGACCAGGTCTTTTGATGCCTAGAAAGAGGCTTCTTCAGGAGAGAAGGGAGAAGCAAGCATCTATAGGGCTCTGGTTAGGTGCTGGTTAAGTCCTGCTTAGGAATCTGCTTGTTTCTGTATCCTTACAATCTGTTTGTTTTCCTTCAATTTCCTAGTAAAACATGTTTTTGAAAAAACCTCCCTGTTTGGCTGAACTGAAGGGGAAAAGGACTCATCAACTTGTCTATACCTTGGTCCAAGCGAGATACTCCAGAGCCAGGTGTGGGAACAGCCCAGAAGGGGTTTAGACTGGATTGTCAGCCCCTTCCTGCTTCAGGCAGGCACCTGACGGCCAATCTGGCAGGCCTGGAGCTGGGCCTAAAGCTCTGCCATGCCAACCAGGGAAAGGGGTGGGGGAAGGGCTGCTGTTTCCAGCTATGGCTTTGTCAGCTCTAGCAATGTGACTCCAGGCTTCCTCATCCCCTGCCTTAAAGAGAAGACCATAGACAGAGTTCAGCTTAGCCCAGCTTGAGACAGATTTCATGTTCCTGTGTGGGGAAGGGTAGGCTCAAGGCTCTAAAGTCCTCTGACCAGAAAGCACCAAGGGTAGGTCTACACCAGTAGTGAAGTGAGGGAAATGGAGGGTCTGTGGGACTGAGGAGGGGCTCTGGCGACACTCATTCCATTCTGACCAGGAGGCTGAAGCCTTAGGATCCAGCCTTGGGCAAGTCTCTTCCCTTCTGTAGGCCTCAGTCTCACCTGTAAAATAGCGATGAAGCCTACACCTGCGTCTTGGCTGGTTTATCTGACAGGAAGTGCTTGTGTTCACTTGCTTGCCTAATGACCATGACATGGGATACTGCTAGTCAACTGCTTTAGTGCGGCCTTACCCACAGTCGGCGAGTTGCTCAGTAGATGGTGTGGTGTTGAGTATTGATAATTAGTGGTGTCCTGAGGGGACACTGCTCTCTCAGGGAAGCCACGTCTGTTGCTTTCTCAAGTAGAAGCTTGAGGGAAGCAACCATTTCTGATGTCGCTACGAAGTCCATATTTGACCCCTTATATCTGTCAGGAGGCCTGTGAGGACTTAAGAGAAAAAGGGAGTACTTCGGTAGGTGAGGAACCACACTGACTGTGGAGGCTTTGGCTCAAAAGGGGGATCAGACTCAGGGCTGATGACGGTGGAGTTCGTCTGGAGTCAAGAAGTGGGGCTAGGCTGGGTACAATGGCTCACGCCTATAATCCCAGCACTTTGGGACTCTGAGGCAGCCTGACCAACATGGTGAAACCCTGTCTCTACTAAAAATACAAAAATTAGCTGGGTATGGTAGCAGGCGCCTGGAATCCCAGCCACTTGGCAGGGTGAGGCAGAATTGCTTGAACCCACGAGGCAGAGGTTGCAGTGAGCCGAGATTGTGCCACTGCACTCTATCCTGGGTGACAGAGGGAGACTGTGCCTCAAAAATAAAAAGAAGCGGGGCTACATGAGAAGGACCATGCCTGGGGCCTGGGTTCTCCCAGTTGCTGCTGAGGTGAGCTACTTAAGCCCAGAGGAGCCACTGCCTGGTCCCAGACCAGTCTGGCAAAGCCTGTCTTGGGTCCTTCTCACTGGCTTTTGCACCATCTTCCCCAGTGATCAATCTCTGAGCCTCGGTTCCTTCACCTGAGTCCCCCTTTCCCTTATTTGTTTTGAGGGTTCTACCTTAGCCTTTCCAAGTCTTGGGGTGCTGGTAGGGCTAGAGACTGGCGCTGCTCCAAGGTGATACACACAATCTGTTCTCTGGCTTGACTCCGCTCCTTGAGGGCAGGGGCCAGGTCCGAGTTTCCTCTGGCCTTCCTTGTCCAACACTGAGCCTGTAATCCTCGGGCCCTGACCAGAGGGCCCAGCCCCTTGGCCAGTTGTTGGGCTGGCCAAGGTGGTATAAGCTTGCACGGGGCTTTCCTCCTCACAGGTGGCATGAGGAGGTAGGGTGTGTGCTGAATTGGAATACATGGCTCCTTGTGTCCAGCTTCCTCTTCCCGACTGGCCCAAGGCTTGGGAACAGTGGCTGCCTTTCTGGGGCAGCCAGGGCACCTGGCCAGAGTGTGCTCTGTCGGGCACTGTCAGCTCTTCAGCAGGCCTCGATCCTCCTCTTAACCTAGAGAAGGCCCTGGGTTATTGGTGTTGTTCTTGGCGGACCACCGGGCCCCTCAGCAAACAGGGAGGCGAGTGTGCACCCGGTCTGGGCCTGTTTGTGTTGGCCTCACCGGGCGGGGGATTAGCTCAGCTGGGCTGCTAATTGCCTTCGAAGTGCCGGCCGGGATGCTGACAAGGGCTGGGCCTCCAGTCACCTCCTCCCCTAGCAGGCACTGTGCCAGGCTTGGGGGCCTGGCCCAGAAGGGCCCCTTCTCTCCCCTGTCAGCGCCTGCTTGGCCTAGACCCTTGAGATGTGGGCAGGGGGTCACCAGGACTGGCGGCTCAGGAAGGAATGGGGGGAGATGCTTATGAAGTCATCGACTGGGCCAGGCCAGGCCTGTTCCACACACCCCTCCCCCACATGCCTTAGACTGCGCCTCCCCAGCTCCCCTTCTGAATCAGACACTTTCTCCTAAAGCTCAGCACTTTCTCCTCTTACTGGGAAGCTGCTGGGCTCCTTTGCCTAGATGCCCTCACCTCAGTCGCTGCTCTGAGCTCCCGCAGCATCTTTTCTCTTCTTCTTTCTCCCTGTCTTCCTCATCTCTGTCCTCCCACTCTGCCTTTTCCTCACTCTGGGTCTAGCCTTTCTTAGCCTCCCGCAGTTGTCTAGTTCCTAGAATTCTCTTCTGCTCTGTTTTCCTGTGTTCTCTGGCCTTTGCTTGGCCTCTGCTACTCCCCAGACTTCCCATGGCTGGTTGTTCTCAGTAAGAGGCTGAGAAGGTGGTCTGCTTTATCACTGCATTTTCACAACTCTCCCAGAGACCTTCAGGCCCAAGCTCTGAGGGCAGCTACAAGGATGGAGCCTGGACACAGGCTCTCTGCAAGCCGACCCAGCCTGGGAGCCTGAAAGCCTTCCTTCCGTCCCTTCAGGCAGAGTGCTTGGGGCCCACTACACCCTTTTCCGCAGCTCTGGCACTCCGACTTGGCCTTGTTCTCTGGCCTTGCCCTGCTTTTCCCAGACATTGGGATCTCGGTCAGCCTTCCAGCTGGTGCCTAGGGACAGCTTTGCCATAACCTTGTCGGCTGCTGCCTGGGTCTCCTGGCCGCTGGGGTTCTCTGCTTTCCTACCTGGGGTTGCCTACTTAGGGTAGAGATCTGCCTGCTTCTGAGCCCTGAGTAGGGCCAAAGTCTCGGGGCAACTGTCTCAGCCCCCAACCTGTTCCATGTGAATTAGAGGGATTGAGCCACTCCTCGTTTCAACTCCCCTTCTGCTCCCTTCATCTTATAATGACCTTAACTGCCTCCTAGGTTCCTGAAAAGGGAATATTTCCAGTGAGAGTTGTCTGGGAGGGTAGACACAAGGAGAAGAGGGAGAATTAGAGAAGATGCTGAGGGAGCTCAGGGCAGCAACTGAGGTGAGGGCATTTGGGCAAAGGAGCCAGCAGCTTACTAGAAGAGTTGTTGAACTTTACAGATGTTCTCATATTTAACACCACCAGGAAATAGATTCTATTATTATTTAGCCCCACTGAAGTGTGTGTGTAAGGGGGTGGGGGCAGGCCCATTGTACAGATGAAGAAATGAGTCTGGGAGAGGACAATGAATTGTCCAAGGTTTTATCTAGTGAAGAAGTGGCAGCACTGGGATTCAAACCAGGTCTATCTGATTTCAAAGCCTGGGACCTTTTCACAGTGCTAGGAAAATGGTTCAGCACAGTCACTTGACTTTTTTGTTTTGTTTTGAGACAGGGTCTTGCTCTGTCACCTATGCTGGAGCTGCAGTCTCAGCTCACTGCAACTTCTGTCCCCCAGCTCAAGCGATCCCTGCTCCTCAGCCTGAGTAGATGAAACTACAGGTGTGTGCCACTGTGCTGGGTTAATTTTTGAATTTTTTGTAGAGGTGGAGTTTCACCATGTTGCTAACCTTGACTTATTTGCTCTTCTGGTATCCTCTATCCCCTCTCTGCCTTTTTGAAGATGAGGTGTCTTTTTCTGTCCACCTGTACTCTAGGACCTCCCTTTGTCTATTATGCCTCTGCCCCCGATTCTTCACAAATTCATATATACCCCTGATGTCCTGAAAGCACTTTCCTTTAGCCCTTCACCCCGCTAAACTTTTGGAAAGCTGAGCACACAGCAGCCTATCCATTCCCCAGCTGGTGTGAATTTGCTTGCAGCGGGGGTGGGGGACAGGCCACCGCCTGCCTTGGTAAGAATGAGGACTTCACTCAGAATGGAGGTTCCTGAGAAGCCACCCTGGATCTCCCTCTCAGCAGCGAGTTCCCTTGGCTGTGGCTTTAGACTTGAGTTATATGAAGTTTTCCACCCAGACTCCTTATTCTAACTGGGTTCTAATCCTGGCGTTTACCTGTAAGCCACAGGCCTTGGATTCCCATGTTGCAGGACAGAAACTAAATCCTTTTCCATCGTCCCCTACCTCCCTGTCAGTACCCAGTTTACCAGGCCCTCTGCTCCACATCAACACTCCTGAAAGATCTGACCAGGCCAAGGTTTAAGTAGCTGGTCATGATGCAGTGAAAGGTACATGAAGAAGCCTTTGTGTGTTAAAAGGGAAGTGTCAGAAGGCATGCAGGTGGGCCTTTGTGGCCCTCAAACCACCTGTTAACAAGGCAAAGGGGCCCCTGTATAAAGAATTTGCTACTATTTATCTGCTATCCTCATGTCCTTCTCCAAGTCTCTTCTCCCTATTCTATAAAAAAAGGTCACTGTCACAATTGCAAGATAAAGAAATAATCATTTTATCATGCATCAGACTATGTCATGAGGACATCACAATGGCAAAGAGCCTAGTAGAAAAACTGGAGGATGGTGGGGCAGCAGAATGGGCTAGCAGCATCCAGAGCTGGGGTTGGTCTAGCCCTAGGCCTAAGGACATCACCTTTGCCTTGGCATGAGAGGAGAGGGGTTTGGGCAGGATGTGGACCCTCTGGCCAATTTCCAGGCCATGGTGGGGCAAAGAGGGGGTGGATTATGTAAGGGTTGTACCAGTTCCCCCAGGACTGTTTGGAGCTGGGCATGTCCAAAGAAGCTCCTTTTCCTGTGGCTGTGGATTCCTTTGACCTCTGTAGCACTGGTGGCGGTCAGCTTGGGCAGTGGTTCCTAGAATCTGATCTGATTAACCTAGGTTGCAACCTTCAGAACCCCAGGAGGATCTGCTTTAGGAGCTTCCTGGCAGGTGAAAAGGGCAGTTCCCATCATATCAGCATCCAGCCTGGACCTACTGTTCCTTGGATGGGGAGAGTGGCTCAGCTCTTGTCTCTGGGAGGGAAGCGGTCCTCACTTCCCTTTTTCTGGATCTGGCCTCTGCTAGTGAGGGTTAGTATTTTTTCTGTGCTTAGTGGACAGCTGAACAGCTAGCCAGAGGAGCAGTGGACCTAGCTGGGCAGCTGTGGTGACAGTTGGCCCAGCTTTTCATCCACATCAGAGCTGGCCTGCCCCAAGATTATCCCCACATTTGAATGTGGCTCCACACCTCACTTGGTTTTGGCTTCCTCCTTGTATGGACAGTGAGCAGAGATCTTGGCTGGGGGCCAAAGGTGTTGACCCTGTCTTTGTGAGGGAGCCAACACTAGGAGGCACAAACCACAATGCCTGGAGAAAAGTTTCTGCAGGCTGGAGCCCATATGCTGAATCTCAGGTATTGAATTCAGCCACTGAACACAGGAGCCAAGAGCTTGGAATATGGGAACCCCAAATGGGATCACAGAGCACAAGATTTCAGACCTGAAACTTAGAGCCCCAGTGTGGGGGCAGTCTGGAAACTGGGCTGACAGCAAGTTCCTCTGCTGACTGGGAGCCCATCTGAGAAGTAGCCGGGTCAGGGGCAAGGTTCTGCTCCTTGCATGTCCTGCTCACAAGCCTGGGCTGGGCTCCTGATGGTTTGGCGGTTGCACAGGGTCAGGCCCGGGTTGCTGCTGCTGTTTCTTGGGAAATCTTGCAGTACCCATGGTACCTGGGACCCCAGGGACCCAGAGGTGCTGGGGATGGGTACACTGCTGAGACCTCACTGTCAGCCTTCCAGCTATTCATGTCTTCTCTCAAAGCCTGTTTTGCCCTCAGGAACCATGTGGGCTCCAGCTCAGCTTGTGGTCTCTGGCTCCTGCTGCTTCCCTGCCCCTTTTCCTCTAGCCAGAACCCCCCTGCCCCAGGCTCAGACCCAAGAAGACCTGCAGTTTCTCTGCCTCCGTGTATAAGAACCAAGGAGGAGTCTTGGCTGGAGGACTCTCCTGGTTCTGCCTCTCCATCCAGCTTGCTTTGAGGTCTGGTGAGCATTGCTCTGTCTGCTGTCAGATGGGCACTAGCATTCCTGTTTTGTCTGCTTCCCAGGACTGTTGTGGCCATCAAGTGAGGTGGCCTGTATAGGGCCGCCTAGAACACATAGTATTTGCTCAATAAATTGTGTTGAGTAGGATAATGGGAGAGGACTTTACTGCACAGCCCTTTCTTTCCTCCCTCTCTCTCTCTCTCGTGTGTGTGTGTGTGTGGTTTCCATTTTCAGTTGCATGGATGAACAGCACTGTGATAGGTGACTCAGGGGCATACTGCAAAGGCACAGCCAGGATCCCTGGTCCAGGATGGCAGCCTATATGCCTGCTTGGGTGGGTCTGAGGAGTGATGAAGTTTCCCCCTCCTAGGGGGCACGCTGGGGCAGGCTGGACTCTAGGGTGGGACTTCAGCCTTCTCTTGCCCTCACCTCCCTCCTCTTGCCTGGAACGGCCCACAGAGATTGAACCGCTAGCTGCCCATGTGAGGGTGGAAATGAACCTGGTGCCCTTGACCTGGTATCTGCTTGTTCCCTTTCTCAGGGCATTTGAGAGACATGGTTTCTAGGCCTAAGCTGCCAGGAGTCTGTGTGTGTATGGGTGCTGGAGAGTTGAGAGTTCTTTTTTCCAGAGGGTGTGACTTCCATCAGATGGTACCTATTTTCCCTGCCATAAGGCCCCCTCTTCCCCGATGACACCGTCAGTAGCTATGTGGTGGTAATACTCCTTGTTACTCCACCGTAAGTCTGCAAGTAGAAAAATGGACACAGATAACAACTGAGTGTTCAGTGGCAGCCACATGCGGGCAGCCAGAGGCACGAGCAAGGTCCCTTTGGTCAGTGGCAGCCACAAAGGCCCAGGCTTTGGGGAGGCCCTGGTTGGTGTCCTTGGGGTCGCCTGCCTGGTTTCGGCAATAAATAACATGAAGACCCAAAAACCAAACCAAAACAAAAAATACAACCAGTATCTCTTGGGGTAGGTGGTGGGAGACTGTTTAAATTATGGGCCTTCCCTGGGCCACTAGGTGGTTGCTGGCGCAGGGCTAGGCAGGTGGTCATCGGCATGTGTGCAGCTCCACGAGCCGCTGGCACTGCCGGCACTTGACGAAGCAGCACCAGTGGAATTTGCAGCTGCAGCGTTCAGCCAGCTCCACCTGCGCCGTGTGGAAGCCGCGGCCGCAGCACAGCAGCTCACAGCCGTCGATGGCCTTGGATGTCTTGTTGCACGTGCGGCCTCTCGTGCCCAGCACGCCGCTGCGCATGTCCTGCTCGCAGAAGTCAGGGCTGGGCTCCAAGTACACCAGGTCCTCATCTGTGTGTGGCTTGAACTGTGCGTTGCGTGGCACCAGCGCCCTGGAGGAGCCCACGCGGCGCGGCTCCACCTCAGTGGCACCATCAAACTTCTCCTTCAGTGCGTGACCCACCTGGCGGAAGGGTGGCACGGCTCGCCAGCACGTCTTCACCTCACAGGAGCCTGACACCCCGTGGCACTTGCACTCCACCCGCATGTGTGTCAGGATGGCCTATGGGAGAGGGGAGGGGAGAGGGGCCATCAGGAGATGCAGGGAAGGGGTCTTGGAGGCTGACAGCGGAGAGTTGAGGTCCCTGGGGCTGACGCTGCAGTCAGATTTGCTGTTGTGCTTCATCTTACGAATTCTGTGGGACTGGGCTGCTAAGCAGTGTTGGGACAGGTGAATTAGGTACTGCCCCTGCAGTTGGGACACTGGGAATTGATGAAAGAGAAGCACTAAGGATGGTGTCCTACCAACAGTGAGTGACAGGTTGTGGGTGGGGAGAGCACTGCCGCATTTGCCCTCCACAGGAACCTTGGGGAGCAGGCATTGGTAGGCAGGTGGCATTGCAGTTAGATACACCATCTTCGTGGTGATGGAGAGAGGTTCACATCCTAGTTCTGCGCTTCTTTGGGGAGTGAGTGTGTGTGAGAGACAAGGATGGACATACATGTGCATATATGTGTGGAGGGGGCACATGTATGGAGGGGGCCACTTACCCTGTTCTGTAATACCTGACCACCTGTCTGTGCCCTCACCTGGCCTGTCCTGAACCCCACTGGCCTATAGAAGGTGCCAGGTGCTGGCAAGAGCCTGCAGAAATGTTTTCTGAGTGGCCGTGTGGGTGGGAGAGTGTGTGGGGCCCTGCCCGCGCTATCCCTGCCCCACTGCTGGTGTGGGTAGTGCCACACTACCTTCCTGCCGGCCTCATTGTTGTGAAGGTTCATGAGGGCTCTGCTGGACGAGGCCCCCTTGCTTCTCTCCCGCACATCCACAAATGACTGTGAGAAGGCCACACCGTAGGCGATGTTGTCAGAGCATCCTGACCACTGGAAGCCTGGGGTGTGGTGGGCACAGAGAGGGCTGGGGTGAGCAAGAGCCAAGGCCAAAACTGCCGCCCTCCCACTCTGACCACCTCCTGTACCTACCCTCTGGGCTGACCCCGTGCACTGTCCGGTCACAGCCGCACTTCTCCAGCTCCCCACTGCTGCATGCCCGCGTCACCGCAAAGGCCACACCTGCCGAAGAGATGGCGTACACGAAGGCCGCCTCCCGAGTGCCTGTGGGAGGCAGAGGGAGGGCAGAGCTGGGTCCTAGGGCTCCTCCCTGCACCCTCCTTTGTAGAAGGGGAGGGGCACATGAGGCCTCCTGCATGCTGGAGGCTAGGAGGGAGCAAGACAGGCAGAAATTGTGTGCTAGGCACCCCACGGCGCCGGTTCTTATCACACCAATAGCTGGATCTGCTTTCTTTTTTTTTTTTTTTTTTTTTGAGACGGAGTTTCACTCTTGTTACCCAGGCTGGAGTGCAATGGCGCGATCTCGGCTCACCGCAACCTCCGCCTCCCGGGTTCAGGCAATTCTCCTGCCTCAGCCTCCTTAGTAGCTGGGATTACAGGCACGTGCCACCATGCCCAGCTAATTTTTTGTATTTTTTCAATAGAGACGGGGTTTCACCATGTTGACCAGGATGGTCTCGATCTCTTGACCTCGTGATCTACCCGCCTGGGCCTCCCAAAGTGCTGGGATTACAGGCTTGAGCCACCGCGCCCTGCCTGGATCTGCTTTCTTAACCAGGCAAGGCTTAGGGCTCTTCACACGTGAGGATCCTGTCATCCTCACAACCACCCAGGAGGCCAGTACTATTGCCATCTCCATTTAAACAGAGAGGCTCGTTGGCTTTTCCGAGGCCACTGAACCAGCCGACAGTCTGGCTTCAGAGCCTGTGTTCCCAGCTCCTGTGGAAAGCTGTTCTTACTCCCTCCCCAGAAGGTTTGTGAAGGTTTGTGAAGGTTTATGGAAGACCAGACAGGCTGGGAGAGGTGAACTGGCTTGCCAAGGCTACAGGTAGGAAGAAGGACTGGACCATAATACCCAGGTCTGGCTTCCTTTCCCAGCTGGCCCCACTGGGCTCTGAGGAGTCACCCCACCTTATGATCCTGCCCCTTCCTCAGACTGGGCCTGTTTCTGAAAACGTCATTTCTTAGAGTAAATGTAGTAACAATAGCCTCTACATAACCCCTGACCCCTACTGTGGCTAATTAGGAGCTACCTATTATGCATAAGCTCTCCACCACTGGGGGCTTCATTTTATCCCATTTTATAGATGGAGAAATGGAGGATGAGTGGGGGAAGGGATTTGGTCCCAGTCACCCAGCCAGAGTACCACGGAACCAAGACTCAAGCACGCGTCTGTCTGCCTCTGCCCCATGACTTCTCAGTGATTCTATTTTGGTGCCGGCCCTCGTCCGCTGCCTGAATGGATGTTTTTATCCTAAGAACTGTGCCTCGGGGGTGTAGCTGTTGTGGACTTTCTTTCTGGGGGTGGGAGACACTGTGTGAGCTGGAGTATGCGTGGCTGGCTGGGTGTGTGACCAGACAGCAGGCCATGCTCCCCTCCTGGACCCTGTGAGGAAGGCCTCTGTGTGCTGTGACTGTCCTTCTGTCTCTTGCCGGAGTGTCTGTGTCCGCAGGAGCGGAGGGGGAAGGCTTTGGCCCCATGGTTGGCAATTACCTCTGTGACACCCAGGCCTGTGCTCTTGGCTGCCCCAGGGAGCAGTCACCATGGTCAGATGGAAACAATCACCTTCTCTGTGCCCGTCTGTGGACAGAGGTAGTAGAGGCTGAGCACTGGGGTAGAAGGCAGCTCAGTCCCCGACCACTCAGGACGCTCTGTTCTTGGTTCGGCCTTGAGCCGGCGATAGTGCCCACCACCCACTCTCCACTGCCCGCTCTCCGCCCTGGCTTGGCCATTTTGGGCCAGCGTTGGGGGGCTTGGCTGGAGCAATGGAGCCTCGACAGCCTGAAACGGAGTCTTCTGCAAGTTAATCGAGGTTAATAGCAGGATCATGTTGGTTGGTTTTATGCTGTGGCCGCCCAAAGAGAGACAACTTCAGTTTCTGGTATTTCTGGTATTTCCAGGCCTGAACCAGCACAAATCTTTGCCCCAAAGATCAAGGGGGAAGGGAACTCAAAGAAGGAGATGGGGCTGTCGCCTCAGCCTGGCCTCGCATGGTTCTTCCTCCTCTGCTGGTCTTGGCTCCCAGGTCGCTCCGGCCCAACCCCAGCTCCAGGCTGATCTCCCCTGTGTACTGGTGGTCCCTGGGGTGCAGGGCCACCAGGGAGGTTGCTCAGAGAGACCTCTGCCTCATTCCCCAAACCAACATTCATCCACTGAGACTCCAGGTTCTTTTTGCCCTGGCCTCAGGAGCAAGAACACTCCAGTTTTCTCAGCTTGGGATGAGCCTGACAGAAGAGATTCTGGAAGGAAGATAATAATGAGCTAAAGCTTATAGGCAGCTTACCATGTGCTGGGCCCTGTCTAAGCACTTTACATATATTATATACCTGTCCTAACAACCCTATGAAGTAGATACTTTCATCTTTCTTTGACAGATGAGAAAACTGAGGCACTGAGTGGCGAAGCAACTTGTCCAACAACACCCAGCCAGGAAGTGGTGGAGCTAGAATTTGAACCCAGGCAGCCAGACTCCAGAGCTTTCAAACTTGACATTATTCTGCCTCCCAGAGCCCCTGAGCCCCTGGGAGTAACATGCAGTTAATTCCACCTCCCACATATGGAGCCAAGAAGGGCTTCCTTAGGGTCCCCTCCCACCACCAAACTTCACATGCTGTAGGACAAGCCCAATTCCTTCTGTGGGTTTTTTACTGGGGGATGGTGAGCAGTTGGCCTCTGGGCTCAGCACAGGAGGCCCTAGAAAGTCTGGAAGATGTGGGCAAGCGTCCGTGCCCCTAAAGCTGACAGTGGCTCCTCCACCTAGTGGAGGCTCCTCCACTAGCCTTTTCCACCTAGTCCTGGCTTCCAGCCCTTGGACTTCTCCACCTAGTCCTGGCTTCTAGCCCTTGGACTCCAGTGTGGTGGCCCTTCCCAGCTCCTCACCTCTGCCCAGGTGCCCAGGCTGGAGCCCTGCTTGCTCGAGGAGGATCTGGCAGAGCACTCTCCCAGGGGCCACTCAGACATAGAGAAAGACCTATGGTCCACCTGGGCAGGTAGCAGCAGGGGTTCCCTAGCAAGGTGGCAGATTCTGTGCCCTGGCCAGGGGCTTTCCAAGGGAGGAAGGCAATCCTCACCTGGTCCTTTCCTGGGCCAGGGTAAGGCAGAACTCTCTGGTGTTCTTCCTTTTTCATACGGCCATTTGCCCCTTCCCATACCCAGCTCCTTTCTTCCACTGTTTCTTCTTCCCAGAGCATCCCCAGCCCCTGACATCACAGGTCTAAATACTTGTGTGTCCTCTGGGTCCAGCCTCAATGCCACCTTTTCCAAGGTGCTAAGGCTGCACTGCCTGGGAATTCAGTTATCCTGTAGATCCAGTAACAGCCACTCTTTCTGAGGGCCTGCTATGTGCTGCCTAAGGCTCATGACAGTCAGTAATCAGTTCTCTACAGCTCTGCTCTATAGAAGAAAAGCTGAGGTTTGGTGGCTTGCCCTCGGTCCCTCAGGTAGTAAATGGCCAAGTAGGGATTGGAACTAAGCCTTGTGGGACTCAGCCTTTGCTCTTTGGAGCATATCACTAGTGAAGTCTTTCCCAGATATGGGAGAAGGAAGGGTGTTTGAGCTGTTTGGAGAACTGGCTAAGGCTGAATTGGACTGGCAATGAAGCCATAGGCTTGCTGATCCCCTGGGTGCCAGGGCCGGTATCCTGATGGAGGTGAGGCCCAGCTGGAGTCTTGGGGAGGTGGGGCAGGACAGGCACTGTTTCCCAGGATAACCTTATCCCCCATTCTTCAACCTCTATCCCTGCCCAGCCTGCGTTTCCAGTTCCCTTTACTCTCTTAGATGTGCAAAACCCCAGCTTTTCTTGAAACCACCTCTAGGAAGCTTTTTTGGATTTAAGAGACAACATAGGATAAGGGAAACAGCAAAGGTTTCAGAGGCAAAGTTGTACTGGATTCTCACTAGCAGTGTGACCTTTCTTTCTGAGCCTTCCTGAGTTGAGTGTTCTCACCTCTAACATGGGGATAATGCCACCGCAGCAGGCCAGACCTCACACCTCTCTCTCCCTGCCCCACGTGTCAGAATCAGGATGTCACCAGCTTTATCTTCTAATTGTCTTGTGTGTGTCTGGCCACTGGAGCCTCAAGGCATTCCAGTCTGGGAGTGTCTCTGGGGTACCCTCTCCCCAGATCTTCTGTAACTTATGGCATCAAAAGGCTGGCCACAGAGGTCATGCAGGAGAAAAAATGTTCAACCCATTATTGGGTCCAGTGTGATGCCAATATTGAGGACAAAGGTGAGAGTGCAGGTGTTAGTGAGGCACACCCAGGACTACAGAGCATTTGCTTCTTAGGTCTACTTGGTGCCATACTCAGGAAGGTATCCTAGATGGTTTAGACATGGGGAATGGACACACAGGCCTGGGTTTGGACCCTCACTTTGCTATGGCCAGTGCACCACATGGCCTCCCAGCCATAGCAGTCAGAGCCTGAAGGGGCCTCAGAATTCATCACATCCCTCATCTCAGGACAGGGACTTGCTCAAGGTCATAGAATGAGACATGGTAGACGCAGAGGAGGCCCGGTGCTGTCTGCAGATGGAGGAGAGCAGGAGAAGGGGAGTTTTTACTGCTTTTCCTACCTCTCCCATCCTGCCCAGGCCAGCCCACCCGGAGGCCCCACACACCTTTGCCAGGCCCTGTAGCCTCTCTCCCACCCTCACACTCTTTGGTTCAATGGGTATTTATTGGTTTATTGGATATTTATCAGTTCATCCAGTGTTTAATGATTCATTGAATATCAGTTACCTTTTATGTGCAGGGCCTGCTCATTTAATATTTTAATAGGCCTTGGGATTAAGAAGTGACTAAAACACAGAGGCCAGCCCACATCCAGCCCTGAATACCTGCTCAGCCAAGAACCACTGATCCCCGCACTCCCAGCCATGCCAGATGCCATCTTTACCAAATTTTTGGTAGATTTTCAGCCTAGAACACACAGTTTTGCCCCAAATTACACACCTGCCTCACTGTTCTTTATTAGTTCACTGTCCTCTTTGCCTCCAGGCCAGGAGCAGGGGAGGCTGAGACCTGGGGCAGTGCTGGCAGTGGGATCCCCCCAGCCCTGAGCCCTGAGGGGGTCAGTTAGCCCTTCCTAATCTCCCTGATCCTCACAGGAATCCTAGGAGGCTGGTCCTGGGGTTGTCAAGGAGGACACTGAGACAGAGAGGGCACAGACCTTGCTCAGAATCTCCCAGCCAAGAGTTGGCACTCCCAGGGCTGGGGGTGTTCCCACCCTCTGCTTGCCGAGTCTCCTTTCTCAGCTGTGATGTGGGAGAACAGGACCATAAACTCACAGTGTCACAAGGGTGACCTGATGCAACAGCACACGATAGACCCGCAACAAATGGGGGCTCCTTCTCACCTCTGAGTCCCCATGGGGGCTGGTCTGGTCTGTTAGCTCTGTCTTCCATGTCTGATGCCACGACCCAGCCAGGCCGCTCATGTATGCAGGCTCCAGCCATGTCCCTAGTCCTGAGGGCTGGGCATGTGAGTGAGGCCCACTTACACTGGCTGCTGCAGGTGACAGCAGCTGGTGACGGGAGGCGCCCTTCTTAGGTGAGGGTCTACACGCAGTGCTTGCCATGCATGAAGTCACTGTATCTCCGTGACAGCCTGATGAGGTGGGTCTGCGTGTGGTTTTGGTGCCAGGCAAGGACACTGATGCTCAGGGGAGTACAGTCACTTGTCTAGGGTCATGCTTGTCCATGCCCTTCCTCCATCTGCCTCACCAGCCAATCCCTGGGCCTTCTGAGAGCAGGGCTTCCTCTTGAACTTCAGGAGGGACAAGCCTCTTTTCCTCTTAGTCAGTGGAGACAAATTAAGAAGTTTCTAAGAAGAATTTTACTAGGGAAGAAAACAAAAAATGCAAAGAGGAGGAGTTTAATGAGTGAGCAGAGCTCAGCCTCTTCCTCCAAGTACGACTGGCACCTGCTGGGTGTGACTGGCCTAGTCTCGGCACCTTGACACGTCCTTCTCCAAAGGGGATTGGACGTTTGACTCCACCACTCAGACTTCAGTCCAGAGCAGGTGACACCCAGCCCTAGTAGGAATATCAGCGTCCCTCAGAACTTGCTGAGCCCGTGTTGGGTGCCCCCTTGGTTCCTCCACCATAGGTAAGGAGAGCTTTTTTCTGGGTCCCGAGTACCCATGATGGCTTCAGGCCAGCATTGCCCCAGGCTTCTCCCTTCCTTGCTCCTTTGAGTCCTCGACCTCGACCTGCTTTCTGTCATTAGATGGCATCCACTGTCTCCTCCATGCCAGGCTTTGCCACATGCTGAGAAACAGGTCAATGAGGGCTTTGAAGGGCTCAAGTCCTAGTGATGAGGAATGGACTTGGGTGAGGAGATGCACATTTCAATCTAAAAGGTGTGCTAGAAGCAGTGTGAACACAAGTGGTTTAGACAAAAATGTGTGTACATCTCTCTAAATAGAGAATAACAAAGCAAATGGGTGGAAGTGTCAGCTGTTGGTGAATTTAGTGAAGAGGGTATAGGAACTCCTTGTACTACTTTTGCAACTCTTCTGTAAGTTTGAAATGATGATTAAAACAAATCACACAGCAAGAACAAAGAGCTTTGGAACCCAGAAGGGAGAGCTGAGAAGGTGTTGCAGAGGAGGGAACTGCTGAGCCCTCAGGAAGGGGCTTGGGCATTTGGGGTAGAGGGCGTTGCATGTAGAAAGGGAGATGGGGAGAGAGTGACAGCCTGCCATACGAAATCTGCCAGTCTATCCACCGATCTGTCCAAGACACACCTACTGTGTGCAAGGGCTTCCCAGGCTCAGGGGCTGCCGTTTGAGGCTGGTTCTGGGGCCCCATCGACCAGGCAGCTCAGGGCCCCTGGAGGCAGCACTGCCATCCTGGGAAATCCTCCACTGCCAGGCTGCTTGCTGGGTCTCTGTTGCTTTTCCAGAGCAGCGATGTTCAGCAATGCCAAACGAGATCATGCCTTTTGGCCCCTGCCAGCTCCTAGGAGAATGGCTTCCAAATTTCTATCACAGTTGGTTTCCAGCAACATCCAAATGGTTTGCCACAAGCCCAGCAGCCCGGGCCGTCCAGGACCACAGGTGCCAGGAGAAGCGTTGGCCCAGGCAACCCCTTCCTGCTGCCTGAGCAAGTCAAAGGGCCCTGTCGATGGTTAGTGGCTCGGTAGTGTCAGATTCATGCTCAGTAAGTAGAAAAAGGGGCCCGTGGCTTAGAGTACTTCCTCGAGGGCAGGGGCTTGGCCAGTGACTTCTGGAGGAGACTTCCAGCTCCACAGAATGTGCTCTATCCTGGCCCCACTGATTTTGGCTTCATGCTGTCTCATATGTCTGGTCTCAGCTGAGGGCCAACCTCCTCAGGGAACCCTTCCCTGAGCATCCCAGCCCCAGCCAGGGTGATGTCCACACTGTGCTCCCACAGGCTCCCCTGGCTCTTTGATCACAGCGTTTCCTTATCGAGGGTAAGACCACAGACCTTGGAGCGGGACTGCCAGGGGTTAGGTCCTGGCTCTGCCACCTTCTAGTTCTATGACCTCAGGCAAGCTACCTAACCTCCATGTGCCTCTGTTTCTGCTCATCCCTGTATCTCCGGCCTGGCCATGCTAGAGGTGCACAATAGGGTTGGTCAGATGTACCAAGGAATGGGATGGGCCCAAGTGCTGGGGTGGGAAGAGCCCTGGGCCAGGGGTTCAGAGCCTCAGGTCTGAGCCCTGACTGCTCCTCTCCCTCTGAGGAGCCTTGGGCAAGTCAGTCCTGTACCCTGTCCGAGTCTCAGTTTCTTCCTTCATCATCTGCTTATACTTCCAGGAGGCCAGCTCTCTCGGAAACACTGCATGCTTTTGAGTGCTGCACCAGCACAGAGCTGCTGCCTCTTCCGATGGCCCCTGTCCCACATGTTGCCTCCCGCCTGGATCGTCCTCCTGTCCCTGGGTCCCCAACGCTCTGTGTCCTTTATGCCCTCACTTGGGCCCTGTGCTGGTTTTGCTTCAGAACTGACCTGTAATAGTCCTGCTGCTCACGAGCATCTCATCTCCTGCCTGGGACCATGCCCTGGCACCACAGGCTCCCCTGCAGCCCCGCACACCCTTCTCTCACCTTGCGTCACCACCTTGCCGAAGACGGGCAGGGATTCGAGTGTGGAGCAGTTCCAGCGCCGGTTCCGGAACTGGTACTGGCACTCCTCAATGGCCAGTTGGGCACCGCGGCGCACGGAGTCCATGACTTCCAGGTTCCGCTTGCACATCTGCACCTGCCTCTGGATCAGGCCCTTGAGTTTCTCGCACGTCTCCTCCTCTGAGATGCTCCCCACTGACGACAGCTTAGCCAGGTACCTGGGGAGAGGGTGGCATGCGATGCAGAGCCCACCTCCTCATCTTTCCCGGCCCAGGACCAGGCCTGCGCTTGTCCCAGTGACTGGGCCTGGCTGCTGACCTCTCTCTGGATCCAGTTATAGCCCTCTTGCCCAGCTCTAGGGGCACCAAGGGAGTGGAGATGCTGTCTTCCACTAAAGGCCTGTATCTCAAGTCAGGTAAAGCAGGCAGCAGCAGTGGGAGGGAAGCTGACTGAGTCCCTGCGGGATCCCTCTCTGCCCTGGTGGCCCTGTGCCACTGTCTGTGCCAGGACCTTACCCCAGACCTGGCTGTGGGCTTCAACTGTTTCCTGCCGAGATGCCCTCTAGCTAGGAGGCTGGAGCTCCTGTTTGCCCAGGGTCTCTCTTTCCCTGCCCGAAGCAGGAACCCCAGTGACCCTGGCCTACCTTCTGGTCACAACACCAAGATCCTTACTGCCAGCCACATCCTCGGACCACCAGATGGAGACCAGTGTCATTGCTGCAGCCCTTTGGAGGTGGGACAATGAGGGCAGTGACAGGCTAGGGTCCCGTGGTAGTCAGGATATGAGTGGTGATGGCGAGAGTGGGCTGTGGGGGAAAAAAAAGCCAAGCGCAGCGTGCTCTCCCCTCTGCCCCTTGAGTTTCTATTCTGTGGAGATGGGGCAGCGATGGCTACTCCTCAGAGGGTTATTGCAAGGATCACGATCTCGTTGAGAGGAGTTCTGTGAAGGTGCTCCAGGACCAGGCACAGGGGGGAGGAGGGGCCGTGAGTGTTTCGATTTCAGTGGAGGATGAGAGCACCACGGTTATAGGTCACCTCCTGAGTGCCGCGCACCATGGCTGCACTTTGCCCTGTTGCATCCTCACCCCAAATCTATGAGGTGATCATTATGCCCATTTCATGGATTCTTTTTTTTTTTTTTTTTTTTTTGAGACAGAGTTTTGCTCTTGTTGCCCAGGCTGGAGTGCAATGGCACGATCTCAGCTCACTGAAACCTCCATCTCCTAGGTTCAAGTGATTCTCCTGCCTCAGCCTCCCAAGTAGCTGGGATTACAGAACATGTGCCACCACGCCCAGATAATTTTGCGTTTTTAGTAGAGACAGGGTTTCTCCACGTTTATCAGGCTGGTCTCGAATTCCCAACCTCAGGTGATCTGCTCACCCCCATCTCCCAAAGTGCTGGGATTACAGACATGAGCCACCATGCCCGGTCCGTTTTATGGATTCTAAAATGAAGGCCAAGAGGGTGACAGGCCCAAGGTGACACAGATAGCAAGTGCCGGAACTGAGCTTCAAGCTCCTTCAAACTCATAGGTCTTTCTCCTGCCTGTCCTCCTCAGTGGCATTCAAGGGGCCTGGAAAGGCCCTGTCCCCTGTGATCTGGGACAGGAGGTAAAGGGACCTGGAGCAAGACATGAAAGTGCCATTGGGATGGGAGCTGGGGAAGGGCCCTGTGAGGGAGAAGCTGTACCGCTCATGAGGGAAGGGGAGCTTGCATTAACTGAGCACTTAAGTGTCAATCGAGCCAGTGGTGACTGGCTCAAGGTCACCCAGCTCTAAGGGCAGACCTGGATTAGAGCTCGGGTCTGGACAACCCAGAGGTTGTACCCTAACCATTGCCCCTCAGCCTGCCCTACCCTTTGCCCCAGTGTCCCCAGCCAGGGCCAAGTGCTCATATTAGGTGCATAAGAGGCAGCCCGCGAGAGAGGAGAGCCGAGTGGTGACTCTGGAAGTCCCCCTTTCCCATCTGATGCATCTGATCACTTCCCGGGGCAAGGCTGCCTTCCAGGTTCTTGGAGGAGCAACAGAATGCAGAGAATCACACCTAAGGAATATTCCCTAACAGGGGATCTGGCCCAGAACCCTCGTTTTACAGGTGGGCACACTGAGGCCCAGAGATGGAGCGGGGAGCCTTCCCATGCCTCTTAGTAGGAACCTCCAGGCCTGGCTCTACCTTTAGCCTCAGCCACACAGAATGAAGGCTCTGGAAAAAGAGTGAGCGTCTTGAGCCAGGCCTCCCCCAGGGCTTGCTCAGCAAACCGAGTCTCCCAAGGGTCGGGGATTTTCTGGGGGTGGCAGTGAAGAAGCTGTTGCATCTTATCAAGGAATCTGCACCAATGTCTTGTTTGAAGAAGGATAAAGGGAAGGTCACTGTTCTCTGGGCCTCGGTTTCCTCATCTGTAATAAGAGAAGGGACCACTGGTTCTGTCTGAGTCAAAGAACTGCTTTGCTATCTGGAGCAGGAGGGATCTGTGTGTCAGAGACGGCCTGACACTGGTCTGAGGCAACGAGGCAGGAAGTTGCTATTTGTTTGCCGAATGAGGGAATGAGTGAATGGTGAGCAAATAGAAAAGTATACAGAAAGACCTATTTATGGGTAGTTTTTCTGATGATAAGTATAGCTAACTTTTATGGAACTTAGGACTGGGCTAAGGACTTTACATTATTGCATTTAATCCTCTCAGAAAGCCAACCAACTCCCATTTGAAAGAGGAGGTAACTGAGGTGCACACAGATTACATAATTTGCCTCATGTGCAGAACCACATGGCCACTGAGGTTGAGCTGGACTTGAACCTGGCGTTTGCCTGGCTTCACAGCCTTGGGTAGAGACAGTACTGGCCCACAGACTATAATTGACATCAGGGCCAGAGACTGCTGGAAGCTGGGTTTATTCAACCCAAAGATGCTAGCCAGGGTACAGTTGGGGGTCGTCTCCCCATCCCTGGAGGTTTGCAGGCAGCAGCTAAGTTTAATTGTCAGGTATGTGGATCAGACCAAGCAATGGTTCTTGCATCTGGCTGTGCATCAGAAACGTGTGCAGGGGTTGTAGAAAGTGGACGTGCCTGGGCCCCAGCCCCGGCGGGGGTTGGTGGGCATCTGAGGTTTTAATATGCCTCAGGTGCAGCTGGGAGGCACTGGTCTGGAGAGCAGTCTGGGTAGGTGTGGGTGATGTTTCCTCAGCCAGAGGGAGCTCTGACTCAGGGATGCCACTCTCCTCCTCACTGTGGCATCGATCCCCAGCGTGTTTCCTTTTCCCCGTGGCTGTGGCACCTGGGCCTGGCTTTCCTTATCTGTAAATGGAGATAACAGTTCTCACCCAGAGGGTGCTGAGAGGAACGCCCATGATCTGTTGTGTGACAGATCAGGTACATTGTAGGTGCCAGGTAATTGTGGGGGCAAATGCGCAGCATGGGGCAAGTGCAAAGTGGTCTCAGGTCGAGGAAGGCCAACCTCCCCACCCCCTGCATTCCTGGTCTCCCAGGGGCCTCCCCGCCCCTCCTTCCTCTCTACCAGGTGCAGCCCAAGGGATGCACAGAATGGTGTTGTCCTGACCAGCCCCAGGCAGGAGCCTGGAGCCCCTCAGAGGGAAGGGAAGGGCAGGAAGGGGGCTGAGAGGCAGCAGAGGCTGTATCTGGAGGCGGAGAGCCCTGCCCGTGTGCTCCCCTGCCTCTGCCCAGCCCTGGGTCGCCTGTGAGCCAGTCCCACCTGTTGCTCTTGGCCTGCAGGGGGCGCCAAGAGCCCGGCTACTGGCGGTGGGCCAGGTCCCCATTCAGGAGGCCACAGGTGTCCTTTGCTGGGGGGACAAGGAATTGAGCCTGATGTTGGATCCTTTCCTGCTCAGACCCAGGCTTGGCCTCTTAGAGAAGGGTGGGGGCCCTGTTTGTGATGTGGGGGCACAGAGCTGGCCCATCCCCAACTCAGCCTCTGCTCCTGCCGCTTGCAGCCAAGGAAGCTGCGTCTGGCTGTGCTGGTGCTTGGCCTCTAGTCAAGGGAGGCACCCCAGGGCAGGGGTTTTCTGGGCAGGGGTAGCAGCCCCCACCCACCATGACCTTGGGCAAGTCTCTGCCATACTTGGAGCCTGTCTCCTCATGGGTACAGTAAACCGGGGGGTCCATATGGCCTTTCCCACTGTCAGAGGCGGTGGGCCTCCTTCTGCTGGCAGGGTAGGGTGTGGCCAGGACTCAGGGGTCTGCTCGCCCCATGCCAGGCTGATAGATGTGTCTCTTGCCATTGAACAAGTAGTGAGATGGACCAGGGCAGGGGAGTCACCCCACATCCCCCCACCCAGGCTCAGAACGCAGCAAGGGGAGACAGGCTGAATGACAGTCACAGGGGCTTCGGGTGAGCTGCTGGGCTGCCGTGGCCATGAGTCACTGGGCCAGCTTCCAGGAAGGAGCTGAGCAACCTCTTCCGTTGGCACCAGTGCCCACCCCCAGCCCCTGCCTTCATCTGGCACAGCAGCTGTCCCCTTCCGTACACATGGGGCCCAGCCCCACCCCTGCCCCTGTTCCCCCAGACCCCAGGGTCTCGCCTGGGCAGGGCTGGGTGCCAGCGCTGGAAATGGAACTGGGCACTGGCTCTAGAGAGTGAGAATCCCGGGCATTACAGGCCCTCATCCACAATGTTTCTGCTTGCCCGCTTCAGTATCCAGCTAGTGTCTGGTCCCATTTTACAGATGAGCAAACTGAGGCTACGGAGACAAAGCAACCTGCTCAAAGTTCCATAGCTAGAGCTGTGAGCTGCAGTGCAAACCTAGCTCCGACTCTCAACCTTCTTTCCTCTGTACCTGGCTGTGGATCTGCCTCATTTACCTGCTGAGGGGGCTAACACCACCCTTGGTGCCTCGCACAGGGCATGGTGCATAGAAGGTGTTTAATGAATGTTTGCAGAAAGGATGGAGGGCTCTATTCTGACGGGGTTCCCTCTGTTTGCTTCCTGGCAGACTGCTCAGGATCGGGGAGGAT